AGACTAAAAATTCATTCACACAAAAAAATATCCATTGTCTATTGGTTGCTGATTGGTGTAGATTGAAAGAACGATATCACGTTATTATTATTTTATCAACTTTAAAATGCTGTCATAAACATTCCTTAAACAGCAAAATTCGATATAAAATAGGTCTGGATTTCTGGAATTAAAGATAATGAACTTCGGTCGTGCAAAAGATTATTTTGAAATTAAATTTTTGATTTTCTTATATGTTTATAATAGAGTCATTTTATTAGATGCAATTTTTATTTTTTCTGGACGCTTTTAGAAAATCCGCGACCTGAGACGTACGTTGCATTCCAGGACAATCCCAGTTGGTGTTGAACATGGGGAAATCAAAACGAAAACTGCATTCAAACTATTCGTCTTTTGATATGAATTGTGTTCATACAAACCGAGAAAGATAAAAAAAAAAAGTGAATTATACTTTACCATATATAAAAGTTTTAGATTTTCGAAAATTTAATTAAAACTGTCTATAAGTAACTAATACAAGAGTTAGGTACTTAATACTTAAGTGCGTATCTCCTTTTTAATAATTAAATGGGAGACATAAGAATGCTGTAAAAATCAATAGTTGCTTTATCGATTGACATACCTACCACTGTAATAAACGTTTTAATTGAACGATTTATTACAGTAAAAAGTGAAAAACAAATCGATTAAATTCATTTATGCGCTTCTTGCGTTATTAACTAGATGCATGTAGTGATGCCGATATTAATGAATCGCTTTAATGATTCAGTAAAATATTAGGTCTCGTCAAAATTCCGTAAAATACCGATAATTTTGAGTATCGCACTCGCGCCGTTGTAAAAGACAGGAAATCGTTTATTTTAATGAGTGTAGATAAACTCAGAGTCTTATAATTTGATATATAAAGTGACTTGAAAATTTTAATGATGACTCGTGCTTATTAATACATCGTATGCATTTTAATTTAATTTCCGTTATTAAAATGAAACTAGCATAACAAGGTAATTAAAAGAACGAGTTGTGCGATTATAGGTAAATTAAGTACGTAAATGTTGTTTATGAAAAATGTGCGAATAAACAGTGGCTGCCACAGAAGTTCCTATTGGGAGAAAGCTTAACAAAAAATGCATATGTAAATTGCTAGATTAGAATTATAAGTGCAAAAGTAAGGAAGGAATAAACGGGTACAATATCACCAGCTCAATTTTTTAATTAAAAGTAAAATTTAGGTATCAAAACGAATCGATTATTTTTGTAAATGAAATAATACTTATATAATTACTACACACAAGAATAATAACGTTCTACTGTAATTACTGTAAAAGCGATGGATCAAGAAGGTTTTTAAAATTTTATCCGACTTTTAGAAAGATATTTACGGACTAAAACGCAAAAAAATGTTTTTGCCTTGCAATTAAAACAGTTGATGGAATCTCTCCTGGAACTAGCTTAATATTAAATATCGAATTGTGTCATATGCGTTTTTATTAAAAATTTTGACTTATTTTATTTGCAAATAATCAATGGGAAAAAGTGAGTTGGTCTAAATGTTTCTATTTGGGTGTATAATTGGCTGCATACATTCTAATGACATAAAATAAATTACCATAAAATTTTTCATGTTTGCATCCACTTACATACTTAATGTACCTATATGTATATTATGAAATTACAGAAAAATGTTAATAGTTTAGTGCTACGCACGAGTTACGGCTAATTACAATATATAGAAAGATAATAACTTGCACAAATCAATAACAGATTGTTTTTGAATTGACAACTAATATTAGGTAAGTTTAGTTATGTTAGGAGTTTCTTACAAACTTCGTACTTTTATTAATTTGTTAACAAAGAAGCTTAATTTTAGCTTATTTTATTAAAATTGGCATATTGAAAAGATATGGCGGACGTGTTGGGAGCCTCGAAACCCTAAACCCTTTTTAAAATGTGGCGATTAATTATATACGTGAAGTAATCATCAAGTTCGGCTCAGTTTTAGGAAAAAAAGATGCATTTAAATCGTTAAATCTAAATAAAAATCTTATTTTCGTTTACTTCGTAGGGAGTTTTAGAAATTAAAAATGTACAGGTGACTGAAGTAACCGTTTCTTTCGGATGAAACAATTTGTTATCCGTTTCTGTCCAGAATCATAATCATCATTATAAGGTTGTCAGTTCTAAAACTGGTTGGACACGCACCTCCACTCTTTCCTATCCTGCGCTAATCTTCGCATTTTCCTGAAGCTAGAAAAAAAAACTTTTGGGTGTTTTATTCCCACCAGCCAGTAATGCTGGTGGGAGGGCAGTCCCTCCGGACTATGCCGGAAGGTAGGGCCGGAAGGCCCTCTTCAGCCTGCTTTCAGGAATCGTGGGAATGGGAGGGTGGTGGTTCGGGTGAGAAAGTTGAGATGGACGAAATGAAGACAGAAGAGATTGAAAGATTATCTGAGGAATATTACTGCCCCAGCATTTGCCTAAGTAATCCAAGGAAACCACAGAAAAACTTGGATCAAGGCAGACGGACGCGGAATCGAACCGGCGTCCTCCCGAATGCTAAGCAATGGTCTAGATCTCTAGGCCATGCCGCTCGGTCTGAAGCTAGAGCAACCCATATCCTTAACTATTTGCGAACAGCAATCTAATCTGGGTCTACCTCTATTCCTCCTAACTTCCGTTTCTGCCTCTAATATGTCACTGACCTGAGAAGGTGTCCTACTAGCCTATCTCGCTTATTTCTTATTGACTTCCAAAGAGTCCTCTGTTCTCTTACTCTTTCTAATACCTCTTCATTTTTAACCTTCTCTATCCACGGTACCCTCATTGTTTGCCTGTAACATCACATTTCGGACGATTCTAACCTTTTCTTTTCCGCCTCGCCAACTGTCCATGTTTCGCACCCGTACAGCGCGGTGCTTCAAACATACACCTTTAGGATACAATTATATTCGTAATTATAAAATTTAATTAACACATAAATATGCTTCCAGATGTTTTACATTTTGTACGATTAGTACCTATACGGATGTGTAGTATCATTCATAAAAAATATTATCATACTCTTTTTAATGGAAATTCTCAAGAATTTTTCAGCAACTGATTCCCTTGTCAGTAAAAATAAGAAATTATTTGGATCATGAAACTTCAAACTTTATATTTTTGGTATAGATATGTATGTAATTTCACTTTAATGAGCGGATTTGTGGAATACAAAATGAAGTAATTTTAATCGGTCCAATTAATGAAATAATAATATCTAATACGTCCTTTACGCTTTGGTAAACGTTTAAGTATTTCACAGTTTAATACTAAATACATATCCAAAGCTTATGTCGGCATGTAAGTAAGTAAGTATATCATGAAACTTTGTGTACTTTTTAGAATGCAAATAATGAAACATATTTGCACCTAATATTCGCATTAATTATTCTGTTACTTTAATTATGGGAGTAAGAAAGTGCTTTTCTTAAAAGAAAGTGTGAGTAAGTTGTTACCATTTCTTTATTGTTCTCTTAGAATCTTAGATAATGGAAGAGAAACGAAACTCATGACCAGTGAAATTTTTATTTAGATGTTGAAGGGTACTTATGTATATACCTTTCGACCAGGGTTGTAGTTAGGTATGGCCGACTCCGGATTTGTCAAGGCCCATCCATTGAATTTTCTGGCGTGTATACTCTGAGTATTAATTGAATCCAATGTAAAACTTAAACCTGAAGGAAGAGAAAGATATCCTTATATATTGTCCATTTCATCCCTTAGTTGGGATAATATTAAATAAAGTTCAAGGCAATTAAGGATTGGAAGGTTTTTATTTTTGAAGAACCAACACCGACGTTTAGCCTATATTTGGGAGGTTGTTTCAAGGTAGGTTACATAACTAAAGAATCTACTTTGAAAAAGACTCCCAAATAGAGGCGAATCATCGGTGTTGGTTTTTCATAAATAAAAACCTTCCAACCCTTAATTGCCTTGAACTTTATTTCTTATCTGTCTCTTCTAGTCGCAGGTAATAAAGTATCTATTACCACAACAGTAAATCTACTGACCCATAAACTGGCCACAAGGAAGGAATAAAGTACAAGGAAGAGAAAGATATCCTTATCTTTCTCGGCTAGTCATACGTTATAAAGTACCAGCAGTGTTTGTTATCTGCGGCTAACCGAGAAAAATAAGGCTACCTTTCTGTTTCTTGTGATAAGTACCTACACGAGTTAGTAGATTTATCCTTTCAGCAATAAATAATAAAGGAAACTGTAATCCAAAATAGGCAAAATTAAATTAAAGTGACTACCATAGTCCAACACGCTTTACTTATTGCAATTACTTTTTAGGTACATATCGAGAGCTTTTCCGATTGCTTTTTCGATGATCATGATTGTTAAATTACCTACCCCAGAAAATTTCACTTCCTGGTGATGAAAAATTGCGTAAGAACCTGGGGAGGAAATTAACATGCGAATTGAGACATTCGATCTTTACCTATTTAATAAAAAGTTTGTGAAAGCTCTTGTGTATTATTTTCACTTAATAATGGAATTTAATTTTCATGAAGTAGAGGGTAATTTAATCAATTTTCTTAATAATAAATTATGTATTTGACAAATGATATCAATATTATATTAACTGACCCCTAAAATGATGCATTACTAAGTAGAAAAGAAAATTTCTCGAAGTTTCAACAGTTTAAACGCATGTTATCAACCGATTATAACTTTAATTATTTGTCAAATACGATTCACTGACTTTTATTTTCAGACTAACACTTTTACGAATATACCTTGTTGTATTATTGGTTCGATATACAGTACGTTTTAACAACATTGTACACTAATACTTGCACTTTCATTTGCGCCGTCCAAAGCAAAATATACCTATACAAAATTCTAATTATCCCCCGGCAGCCCGGCTGCAAAGTCAAAGGAAATCCAAACAATGATGGGAAGTAGTTCACAACAGATTCTATTTCTCGCTTGTTAGCTACACTCCTACCGTATGTTTTGATGATATTGCACGTAAAACACATTGTTAGCTTCAGTTTCCAGTGAATGATCGTAACGGTATGATACCTCGGTATAATTTCGCGTTAGTCAACATAAAAACGTCAAAATCATGCAGCAATGTGATGGCAAACGAAACTGTGCCTGTTTTACATGTGCCCAATTGGACTCGATCGAACAGGATGTACCCATGCACACGTTCAATGACAATTTTATTTTACATCCGTCCAAGTATTGCGACGATATCCCTAAACAGTACACCTATTTTGGAGCGAAAGATTTTGTGAATTCATCTGAGGAAATTATACAAGCGATTGTTAGGGAGAAGAAATTTACTTTTCCGGAAAATGATTCCGACACAGAAGACGCGATCGGTCGGAAAAATCACTCTGATGTAACTAAATTCAAATCCGTTGTTTACCTCTGTGACAACAAATGTGGCGAAAACGACCACGAAAATTGTGTAACTATTGACGACGAAATGAGCTTAGATTCTAATAGTGACACCAATGTGATTCAAGTCATTTTCAAAAACAGTTTTCCTTACGCGAACAGTTTAATTGATGATATTATGACGTGCGAAAAATATTTCTCGGATGAAGATTGTGTCGACGATCTTCCTGTAGGAATAGAAGCTTTCATTTACGTTAAACATTATCATAAAAGGCAGGAAAGGTAATATAATATGTACAATAGTAATATTTAATTTTATTAGGACTTTTTGTATGCTTCTTGGAACACTAAAATGAAATTTGATCTCATAAATCCATATATTTTTTTGCCTGATTTGACTGGAATACTTATGGTATATCTCGTATTCTTAATATAAATAATTACGTTTATAATTGTCTCAACTTGTTGTTAGTAATATATTTCGTAAGGGTTATGAAGCATTGCTGTTAAGTAATACTTTTTAGTGCATTTGGATTACAACAGTCATTTGATAATTTTTTTTTTCTGTTCTTTATCGTAATTTTGTCACACTTTATTGATTGAAAATTAGGTTTTATCCGCGGCTTAACTAGCGTTGATGTCCTAAATACGTGTCGATGATGATCGACGAACACATACAACGAATTTTACCCTAAAAATACCCTATGTCGTTTTTTGTACCCCTGCCAATGTGTGTACAAAATTTAATGATATAAGTTTGAGCTACGTCTTCGCTCACGATGATGTCCTAAATAAAGAGCTTCGACGACGACATAAAACTAATCTTTTTTCTATCTCTCGGGAATCGTATTGATTACTGGATAAAAGGTATCCTATGTTAGGCTGGTGTAGTTCACGAACTACAAGAACTAGTTAAGAGACTCATGATTGTACATGATCAGTAAAATAACCTGAAACAACGAAAATTTATCGGAAGTATTGGTTGTTTTACCGACAGTCCATTCTTTTTGAAATGTATTTTGGGGATTTGGGAGTCCCGAAACATCAATAAGATTTTTCCAAAAATTTGATGTGATGTAGATCAATATCAGATTATTATTATTTAATTATTATTATATTATTTAATCATTGAGTAAAGGGTGTCTATCTTCTTCAAACCTAAAGCGTATTAACAGTGAACTAACGAACTATAAGAGCGAACCAGTCGCGGAAAAATAATCGAACTAAGATGAGCGCTCTTTTTGCTGAACTAAAATGACCAAATCTACCCTATGTCCTTTTCTGTACTTTTGACTATGTGTATACATACAAAATTTCATGCGGCTTCACCCGTGTTGCTGTTCTAAATATGTGTCAAAGATCATTGACGACCACATAAAACTAATTTCTTCTATCCCTCGGGAACAGTATATTTTTTTCTGGATAAAAGATACCCCATGTCCTTTTCTATAACCTTGAGTAGTTACATAAGTCACTTTCGCGTTTATAATATTACAATCAATTTCATAATTCTTTTAGTGTTTCTCTAAATTAGTTTTTATGAATCGATGTCATGTATTATACTTTTTATTCATTCAAAGGTTTCTTCTTCTAGAGCTATTAATTGTAAATTTAGAATATTAACAGATAATAATAATAATAAGTAGCTTTAATTATTTAAGAACTGGAATGTGAAATACATAGTGTGCAAATTATGAAGTCGTTTTATAATGAATAGTTAATTGCTAAGAATTATTGAACAGCAACATTCAAACCAATACATAAACTCTTGGTCTATTAAAATTGTTATCCAAAATCGCTTTTACATCTAATTGTAAGTTAATTATAACAGTAAAAATATATGTATAACTAGTCTTAATTTTTTATATTTGTTTTGGTTCGAAAGTGTAATTAAGTTATTCATTCACTAATTAATGCTCATTTTATCTTTGATGATGATTATGGTATAAACCACTTAGAACTAATTCAGGGCAAATAAATTATATTTTTATTTACAGTCTCTTTCGAACGTTTCATTTTCTGATTGCGGGCTTTTTTACTGTTTTGGTCTACGCAGCGGTTCCAAATTTTTTTGTTACGGAACCCCTTCTGACCCCACCTTTTTTTGACGGAACCCAATTTTGACAAAAAGTAAACACCTTATTGTGTACACGTTGTAATCCTCAACTTGAATTTTGAATTTAAAATATTTTTTGTATTTTTATATTAAATGTATACATTTTTACTTATAATAGTGTTAAAATTTGATTTAATGTCAGACAATTAAATTCGAACATCCGAAATGGTATCCAGTATAGTCTTGAATTTGTTTTTGTGTTTATAAATCGAAGCAGGAGCCGTAATAAACTTCTCAACGACTGCAGGGTTTTCATCTTTAAGGTTGGTCCAAAAATCATTCAAATTTGAATAAGTTGATTCAAATTTTTGTTTTAAAGAGGATGAATTCTTAATATCGATCAAGTTCTCATACTTAAGTTAACATTGATGGTTTATTTTGATTTGCCAATGGATTCTGTACTCACAGTCAGTGACTGTCCTGTAACTCCTCTGGAAAGTATTCCTTCAAGGATTTTTTGAGGTTCACTTGTAATTTCATCTACATCTGAGGTTACTTGTAACTCATTTTCTTTGAGAAATCTATTTAGAACTTTTTTGTTCAACATATTTAATCCAGAAGCCAAATTTGTTTTTTATTGTTAGAGAAGATATTTTGTCTCTCTCTGTAGACCTAGTTGCGGTTGTTCACTCTAAGAATCTGTTGATAAGGTTGAGTTTATCGAATATATCGACCAAATAAGTCAATTTCATTATCAATTTCTCGTCATGCAGTTCGATATGACTAATGGATGTGAAAATTGATTGTCCAGGTTTTCCTCTCGAAAGCCATCTCATTTCCGTGTGTACAAGGAGTGATTGATGCTGATTTTCCACATCTTTACTTTTTTAAAGAGCTTTATTTATTCGATAACAATCGCTACGCATCTAAAAATTGCTGTAAATTTCAAAATAAATAAATGAGTCAGACTGGTTTGTGTGTTCAGGACAGAATGTCCTATCTTCTCATCAGATATCCATAGGTAGATATCTTTCATTCACAAAAATAGCGCTCCTCGTCCCTTATATGGTGTTGTTGTGGTTAGAATGATTACCTTCCGCAAAATGTTGTATATCTTTATTAGAATAAACCTCGTATCTCCCGGAACCCCTGTGATCCTTCCACGGAAAACCATTTGGGAACCGCTGATGTAGACCCTCGAAGAAGTCGCCAATCAGGACAAAACGTTGGGAAGAGATTGCAAATAAAAATATAATTTTGTCCTGAAATAGTTGTGACTGGTTTATGTTATTCACTCATTAATTGCAGGTGGAGTATCAATGGAATCGAAAATTGAATTGATTCAGTTGTTATCTTGCAATAATTCATCTAGACCATAAACAAAAATACAACCTTTGTATCACCCTCGTGACAATAACAATATTTAGTAGCAAATACTGAAAGTAAAAAGATAATAAACTAAGTAGTGTTTTTTTGACGTGACAACGTCTTATAATTCGATAGAGCCGGCTGCACGCACGAAAAAACATGACTCATGCGGCGTTACCTCGCTCTGAGGCGTTCCATTTAAGGCTTGAAGTGCAAGCGAGAGCGCGGAACGAGCGACAAAGAAGCACAATCGGCCTCCGCGTTTGGCAGCGTTCGACATCTGTCTCTCTCCTACTTGAATGAGCGATGCGTCCGCGTGGACAGCTGCTATACAATAATACATTTCCATTTACCTCCTTCTCTATATCCATACAAAATATTTATCAAATAAATAAAATTAAAACTTTCTTTTGAAAAATGAAACCATTCCATCAGTATTTTCTTATGACGTTGTCACGTTCAACTATCGTCAGTAAACCGACTTTACAGACAACCGATTTTTTTCTTTAATTTTATTTATTTATCGTTAATAGCACCGAAATTTTCATGTGGTTATCAAAATCTTTCATAAAGGCAACAAAAAACAATTACAAATAAAATCATAATTTCAGATTATCCAGTAACTCAAGGAATGATGCAGCATATCCCCCTGTGGATAATCTTCCAACAGACCAGACGCTTAATAATAATAAAGAGAACAAATTTCTGCTTCGGGTTAATACACCGGCCAATTTACCGCAATCGAAACAACAATTTTCTACTTCTTCCGCCCAAGATCAGCCTCAAAATTCTAACGAGAGGATGGTATCGCCTAAAGGACGCATTGAACATTTTCCTCACATGTACGTCGCCAATAACGTGAAAACGTCTACGTTCAATGAACAGACAGAAAAAAGCAATCTATCAAGTGCCAAAAATAGTTCCATGAATAATACTGAGTTTAATAATAAGTACAATTGTTCGCATAATGCTGTTAATATGGTACCGGAAAGGGATACTGGTCCGAACAAAAACTGCGTTAGCAATTTTACTACCCTTGGAAGACTACAAATTCCTGATTCTGGCCAAAATAAATTAAACGATAACGGCAGTGGTACCGACGAAAGAAGAAAGTTGGCTAGTAGACCTCATCATCATGTCTCTGTACATGAACTTAGAATCCAGGTGAATATTTTCATTAGAATGTTAGTAGACAGTGGTGGTAGCTCAGTGTTAGTTTTGCTCCTAGTGCTACTTTCGGCTTTTTTTAGCACCGTACGCAGCACTGTAATAGTTCCTCAGACGAAAATAGGTCATCCGGACATGCCAGTATGTCTGACACAGGTAATAGTTCGCCTCGGGGAGTTGCAACTACAAATGAAAGACTGACAGCGGGAGTTTTACAAAAAGGACCCCGTAACCGAACGACTTCCCAACATAGCAGATCGCGATATAGAGCAACTCCAGCAAAAGTACGTTTTACTAGCCGTAGCGAGTAGTATCATTGATATTTTGTACTTTATTATAGTTACAGGTTCCTTGGACAGGAAATGGAGGTCTGGAAGATATAAAAATGGCCCTCCAACAGTTGACCATGAGGTCGCATACTTCCACTAGTACTTATTCTAGTGTAAGTGCAGGATCAGAAAGCTCAGAGCCGGTAATCCGGCGATTAATTCGTCATTCTTCTTTAGAAACTATAAACACGAACATTACGAATGCGGATGAATTTGTCTGGGTCGATTCTCACAATCGGTAAGCAAAAACCCAATCGTTATTTCCAATTCTTCACAATATTTTCTTGTCAGTTTGGTAGAACTTCAACATTTACCTTGGAACAATCACTGTTTATTAAGGGTGCTTCAAACAGGACGTTGTCGAGAAAGTATATCAAGAGTTAGCATAGAAACTATTCCTAGATTGTCGTATTTACTTCAAAGGGCACTTGTCCGATTGGGTCGTGAAACACAAAGACTGTCGTCTAATTTGGGCATTTGTACCAAGCACGACATAACCGTCTCGTTTAGGATCGTACTGTGTCCTCCCCTTGCGGATTCTTGTATAAAGGCTTGTCAGAGGGCAGCTGCAATGCTTGCGATGTCGGGCGATGGTGCCCTTAAACAGAACAAATCTCTCAGGGCCGGACTTCAATTACATGTCGGAAGGTTTCACAGGTGGATGATGGATGTAAAGTTGGGAAGGTTTATTCATGAGTTAGTATCACATGAATAATTAATTTACGTAATATAACAATACTCATCGTTTTGACGTAGATTTTAAAAAAGTAGTTTCATTAAATCCACGATGTTTTTTCATCATTCGAGAAAGGAACTAATCATTCCCATGGATTCTTCCGGTATAACAGGTTGAATCATTTATATGTGGTTTTGGATAGAAGATGAAAACATGTCGTGAATCTAATGGAAAATACTTTTGAAACTTGTTATCAAAAACTGTGATCGAATTTTAACCTACATCATTTACGTATTGTCTAAAACAATACTAAGTTTAAAACCTTTCAAATTGTAGATATGCAGCGGTATATTTATGTGCAGGAATTGAAAATCTTTTGGAAGAAATTTTGCTACAATGTTTACCAAGTGATTCTAAAACTACGCTTACAGCAACACTTTTAGAACATGCAATAGCCAACAATGGTGACTTATGGGGTCTGTTGCAGCCGTATGCCCATCTTAACGCTGGCAGAATAGCTTCCGGTACTGTATTCCAGTTTTTACTATTTCCAAGTCCTTCTACAATATCCTCGTCAATTTTAGGCGCGTTGGCTTTACCACGTTGGGCATCGGAATCGAGTGTAAATTCAGGAAAAGATTCTGGTCGAGGATCGGGCCCCATCGAGCCGTCCATAATGACAACGTGTGTTGGTTCTTTGACTGAACTTCAAGACCTTTTAAGCAGGATGCAGTGCCGTATACCATTATGTTCACAAGCCGTAAGAGCGTTATTTTACTTCATGAGATGTTCTCAACTGGAACACGGTGAACAAACGGGAAATGCCGTACAGGTGATTTTTCTGTTTATTTGGCGAAATTCTTTGTTAAAAAAACCAACTTCCAGGAATTGTGTTACGAAAGGGCTTATGTTGTTTTACCTCCTCTTGTGGAATGGATACGTGTTGCCACTGCCCACGGAGAACATCGATTCGCAGCAATTTTAGACAAAGACGATATTATGCAAGCGGCAAGATTATTACTGCCTGGAGTTGATTGTCCAGTGAGGACATTAGGAGAAGAAGCTTTGAGAGTTAAGAAGAACAATGGAAGTGGAGATGACGAAATTGAAGCTTCTAAGCAAATCCAGGTGATGCAGTTACAACTAACGATGAAATATCTAAAAGCTCATTGAAGAGTATGTATTTCAGATTGAGCTTGCATTCCGATTGATGATGACAGGAAGACATGAGCTTATTCGCCAAGCATTGTCACTTCTACCTTGTGAAACGCGTTTAGACACTCTGAATCTTCAAGGCCACACTGCACTCATGCTAGCAGCACTTTATAATGATGACACTACTCTTTTGGTAAACTATGATAGCTTATTTATATACTTGGACAAAGTATTTTATTTATTTAACTATTTTTTTGTTAGGCTTTGTTAGATGCTGGAGCTTCAGTAGATACGGAAACGCCAGTTGGTGGTTGTCCAAATTTTGCTGCGGTAAATGGTGAAACTCAGCATTGGACCGCATTGACGTATGCAACTGCCAAAGGTCATATACTGTGTGCACGTTTGTTGCTGGAAAGGGGGGCGAATGTTGAAGGGGGTGCTCGACTGAGTGAAGATAAATGCACGTTAACTCCATTACAAGTAAGTGAATAATTCTCTAATTGCGGACACGTGTTTCGCCCACTTCTAACATTCAGTTAGATCTATTATTATAAGTCTAATTATTTTCTAGATCTTTATCAAAATAGCAAAATATAATACCCTGTTTAATATTTCCGTCCGATACATAGGTTGCTTGCGGTAGCGGAAATGCGGATATGGTTTCGTTATTGTTGGCCCACGGTGCTAATCCTTTTCTGTCGACGCAAGTTAAAGATTCCTTGTGTTATTCTGCTTCCATGCAAAAGGGTACATATTGTGCCATTTCAGTCGCCGCAGCTCATGGTCAGCGAGCCATCCTCCAAAAATTAGTCAATCAGCCAGTAATTCCTGCTTTTCAGGAAGTTCTATCTTTGGAAGAAATGCTTGCGGAAGGTATTTGGTTCTTAGGTATCAAGTGACACCTTGCCGAAGTTGAATTGGTGTTTTCTTTAAAGGTGCAAAGGAATCGTGTTCGTCGTCAAGCAGTGTTGTATCTCAGTTTACCAAAGCTCAAATAAAAGCTCTCCAAGAGTCGATGTATCATAGTGCAGAGAATAACCATCTGGACATTACGGTGGAGATAAGAAGCCTAGGGATTCCTTGGACGTTACATTGTTGGATGCATTCTCTAGGGGCAGCTCATGAGGCCAGACTGGACTGTGTTATTGATCAATTATTGCAAGATTTCTTGCAGGTATTTCCGGACGATTACAGTCAGCAGTTTGTACAGGAATGTTTACCACTACTTTTCAACATCTTCAGATATAGTAAAGTAAGTAAAGATTGCAAATATTTTATACTTTTATTTGACGATAATCTACTGTTGTGCACAATACAATTTGTTAGTTTTTCACAAAAACTGTTTATCGAAAAAAATAAGGATATAGTACGTAATCATGTAAAACATTCCTTATTTAGTAATTTGTGGACAAAATCATTAAATTCGCCAGGAAGAGAGAAGTACTGCTGAAGATTTCCTTTTTCCTTTTTAGAAAGAAAGCACAACGTTATTATTGGCGGACATTTTCTCAACATGCTTCGGGTGGGAGCCCATAAAGCCCATTCGGGATTGTGTAACTTCTGGCAACAATAGTTCTCGCATAGATCCCAAGTATGTTAACAATCCTGAATTGAGCGATGTGACATTCAGGGTTGAAGGAAGGATTTTCTATGCTCATAAGATAGTTCTTGTCACGGCCAGCCCCAGGTTACGGGCAATGTTAAGTTCAAAACTTTGCGAAGGTGGTACACCTACGGTTCAAATCAATGACGTACGGTACCATATATTCCAGGTAATGTCCCTAGCTACTTAATATTTATGTATCAATTGTTAAAACTTGTTCAATTCATTATCATCATGACATGCACTTCCACTCTTTTCTATCCTGAGCTAATCTTCATATTTCCCTAAAACTAGAACATCCCACATCCTTAACTATTTATGAATGGTAATCTAATCTAAGAGTGGAGGTACGTGTCCAACCAGTCTTAGGACTGACGACCTTATTATGATGATGAATCTAATCTAGGTCTACCTCTACTCCTACTAACTTCTGTTTCTGCCTTTACTATGTCTCTGACAAGACCTTCATGCCTGAGAAGGTATCCTAGCAGCCTATCTCGTCTATTTCTTATTCATCCAAATATTTAATTAAAATAGAGTCGTAATAGGTACGGTTTAATTGTTTCCATACAGGACTAAATCAAGCAATTTCTGGTGTGATAAAAATGTTTCACTTTAGGCTGATGATTATAAGTGGACCGTGATATGCTCATCCGATTTCAACAATTCTTTCACCAATATTTAGAATGTATATTTAGTAGGGGGCGGCTTAAGCAAACTATACCTATAGTTACAACAATAGTTTACCTTGTAGGTAAGCAAATTTGTTTGTAGACTTGCTCGACTCTCCTGCACTTTTCTGTTGAAACCACTGACAAAAATTAACTCCCGACTGAAAATCAGTTTCAGTTAAAACTTGCATTCGCTGCAAATGATAAAGATGCAGCAACTACTGTTTTAAAATTCGCAATACTGTCATACGAGAAGAGCCAAGGTTCCCTATTATTTCCCGTGTATTACTTTGGGGACTGTCTTCTATGAATTCCAGCATTTCGTCATCTACAGTGGCGATATGATTCGGACGTGGACGCTCACGACCCTCAAATGTAGGGTGTACGTACATTGCCGGCTTCTCGCAATCTCTGTACAACATTTAAGACGGTTCGCGAGTGTGGAAGTCGTCGTTGAGGATGTCGATGCTTGTATATTAATGTTGTATTCACATTTGTCGTACATTAAGACCATATTACAGATTTATATCGTTCTAAATGCCTTTGTAATAACAGTGACACTAACCCATTGAGAATGAGCGATTAACAACGACAAAGGACAAATTAATTTTACATGCGGGTCCCGTAATATCGTGTATTAATCCAATTTGACAAATAACAAACTATTCATGAGAAAAAAAGAGTACAAAAGAGATACAATACCGATGCTGCTAATTCCTGGCTGATTGAACGCGACATTGCGTTGTATTGATATTCTAAGGACGGAGTTTGTAATTTTTACCTTCGTCTGCGTTTTTCTCAAAAACGGTAAACTTTCGGACATTTACTTATTTTGCAAGTTCTGTACTTATTTCTGTTACACCCTGTATACAGTTTTCCTTTTCCTGTGCGGTACATAAATATTCTAGAAAACTTAGAAGTTTCTTTTTTTTACGCTTCAATCAATTAATTTGAAGAAATAAATCTTGCTTTCTGAGAACCGGTTTATTTCGTATTTTTACCCGGAAAATTTCTTCTTACTTTTTCAAGATATTGCAGATATAATCGCGACAGATTTTCATAGAATGTCCTCTGTTTTGTTACCGTACACGTAAGTATTGGCAAAAAATACTTTTCTTAGTATTATTATTTTTTTCTTAATTCTATGTATGGTTTGAAATTTTCTTACAGTTTGTTTCTTTCTTGTGTTTGAGTCAATCTTACGCCAACCACTATTACGCTGTTGATTATTCGCTTATGATTTAGTTTTTTTATTTTTTTATTCAGATCTATGAATGTAAATTTCAAGAATTTATGACAGTAACTATTTATGTCACTATAAAAAAAACCTTCATCAACCATCGATTCGTTAGTCGTAGCAAACAGAGAAAAGTTCAACTCCAACATTGTAGTAACCTATACCTACTTCATCGCTTAATATATAGACAGGATTTTTGGTCTTCATCTCAAATTGCTCCTTTAAAATCTCGTATGTATAGTTTCGTAGGGGGACTTACCAGGTATTACTTTTCCTTCTCAGCCCACTATAGGACCGTCTGATTAGGTTCTCTTCAGCTGGATATTATATATTGTCTTCACATCACAACAGTTACAGTATAATCTAGATAATCTGAACTAATTATTGCAAAGGATTGTTCAGACTATTATTTTATTCGAATTATTAAAGAGAAGTCGTCTGTTACAAGACACAGATATTTATATGTAAACTTTATTTTTTAAATAAATCTGGAATATTTTGCATGTTTCCAGCAGCCGCTTCTCGAGCGAGGTGACGTTAGCATGTTTGCGTTGATCGACTGTTTGGACTATGAAGGTTTGTTCAGATTAGCGGAGGTTCAGACAAATACATGTTCGGATTATCGAGGTTGTACTGTATTAAATGATATTCAAGAAATTCATATAAACAGAACTCTCAACAGGAGTGAATTCCAAATAATTTTTAGTTGAAAATGTATCATCATAAAATCGTGAGTCCTAAGACTGGTTGGACACGCACCTCCACTTTTTCCTATCCTGAGCTAATCTTCGAATTTCCCTAAAACTAGAATATCCCACATCCTTAACTACTTTCTGCCTCTAATATGTCTGTGACTAGACCTTCACGCCTGAGAAGGTGTCCTACCAACCTATCTCGGTTATTTCTTATTGATTTCTATAGAGTCCTTTGTTCAACTGTTCTTTCAAATACCTCTTCATTTCTAATCTTCTCTATCCACGGTATCCTCATCATTCACCTGTAACATCACATTTTGAACGCTTCTAACCTTTTCTTTTCCGAAGCGCCCACCGTCCATGTTTCGCTCCCGTACAGCGCCGCGGTCTAAATATACACCTTTTACTTTTTCCAATTTCTAAATTAATCGTTCGCAATCATACAAGTAACTTCTTTGTATTGAAGGCGACTCGATCCTACGCTATCATTTGGTTTATATCCCTGCTACTCCTTCCGTCTTGACTTATCTGACTTTTTAAATACCTATAGTCAGCCACTTCTAATCTTTCGTCTCCTATCTTTATATTAGCTCTTTCCCTACTTTTTCTTCCCTTGCGTACCAGTATTTTTGTTTTACTTTTATTTATTTTCGTACAATACTGTTTTGTCAATACCATTTTATTTTTATTTAAAGCTATTGCTAACTTCTCCTTGCTAGATGCTAATATGTATATCATCTGCAAATCTAAGCATACTAATCTTTTGCCCCTGCCTATGTATTCCTACAGTTGTACTGTCTTTAATGATGTTGATTGCGTCTTCGATGTGTAGATTAAAAAGTAGCGATGACAATGTTGAAAATGTAGTACATATAATATATGTATATCACGACTGTACATGGCGTGCTGATGAGATCAAACAAGATGCAAGTTGCGATCCGCGTATGATAGTTTTGATACATTTCTGATAAATAACTTATACTTTCTTATTAATATGGTTTGTCACGTATGTCGTCGATTCAATTAGACAATTGAAATGCCTCACAATTATTAAGGTCATGTGCAATGTCTGAAATGGTTTAGTTGCAGCAAACATCTACTAGATGACGATACTGTATATGGATATTATATTTGTAAATATTTAAAACTTTTAAAAATACACCCCAAAAAGAGCGAGATTTGTTGCAGTTAAAATGAATTCGATAATAATTGTTGCAGATCGTTATGCAGTTTCTCTACCAAGGCGGCTGCAAGGATTTAGAGCCCGCGCAAGAAGACATACTGGAATTAATGGCGGCAGCCAATTTCTTTCAGCTGGACGGTTTATTGAGATATTGCGAAGCACGCTGTGCTGCTATGTTAGCTTTAGACAATGTTGTGTTTATGTACATTCACGCGAAAGTATATAATGCAATGCAGCTGTTAGAGTACTGTCAAGGTTTCCTTTTGCAAAATATGGTGGCTCTGTTAACGTACGATGATTCGGTCAAACGATTGTTGTTTGCGAAAAAGCTTCCCAATCATGATGTATTGGGAGGATTGCTTAACACGCTACAGAATCGGATAAAAACGAGGAGATCTCAAGGCAACACTAAATTTACTTCGACCAATGTCCAAAAACCTAACATTGGTGGAAGCAAGTAAATATTTTGGAGGTGCAAACGTAATCACAAAGTAGAATGAAGATTCGGACTATAGGGCCGTGGTCTAAGTGAACTATTCCGTCTAGACGTTTCGTCAGCTACTGCGACTGACATCCTCAGTGGTGGTGCTGCGTTGACAACGTAAACGTAGATTATATGTCGAAGTCTCGACAGCGAGTGGGTGGCAGCATCACCACTGAGGATGTCAGCCGCAGTAGCTGACGAAACATCTGGACGGAACAGTTCATTTAGACCACGGCCCTATAGCCCGCCCGAATCTTCATTCTACTATGGATTCCGGCCTTTGTTCTTATATTGTAATCACAAAGCTCAATCAATGGAAAAATGGAATATTCAGGTTAAATAACCGTAGTTTCAGAGGTTTCCTTCCTATATAGGTCTTCATTAGCACGGGAATAGAAAATGGGGAACTCAAACTCCTTCAAAATTTTGTTTCAAGAATTAGAAGAATTGGATGATCGTATGGGCCTCTTGGACCAATTAATTTAACAGACATGTTCTATTGTGTATTTTCTATAATTCTCTTGGCCTCATTTACTATCATTTTTACATCCACATACTGCAAATACATATACGCTTTTTGTTAACTATCAGTAGATATCGACTTAGGAATACTTTGGAAGGCGATTGGAAAACAACTTGAAATAAAAAAAGTAATGCTGTCCATAACTGGTTTGAATAACAATAATTACTGAATGTGCAAAATAAAGAATCAGTTCTAGTTTTCTCATAAGTGTAGTACCTAGCTAAAGGTACACTGAAGCTTAAGAATATTTTGGTTTTATTTGTTTATAGTTTGGTTTCAAATCAAAAGTACAAACGTAAATCGTCATGATTAGGTACAAAATTTTTCATGAAATTTTATTTTATTTGTTTATTTTTGCGTTAAAGTTATCTAAGATTGATATTATTGTCAAAGGCTATGATCACAGTTTTCATTGGATATAAGCAACTATTTCTTAGGTGCCTTCGGGTATAAAGTAATCGTAAGTATCGACACTTCCAACTAATTATGCTCTTGCAATCTGGGAAGTTTTGTATATAGCACCAGCAGCTTTAAAATCAAATAATTTACTTTTATTTTTTGTGTATTGTATGTAACGAAAATATAATTTCTGTTATACTGTTAATTTAACTTTTAATGCTTTTAAGTGTAGAAAATGCATTTGGAGTTTATTACGAATCCGTGCATTATTTATGTTTAAAACTTTTGGACGTGAAGTATAGTATATGAAACAACCCAATTTTGTGTGACCTACGAAGAAATAAGCATTAAATAAATCTGTATTCATGAAAAAGCTTTAACTAGAGACATAAACTACCTGCTTAAATTTTAGTAAATATCATAAAACATATAAAAAATAAAAATTTACATATACTCACACATATATGTAAAATGAAGGTGTAAGATTCTCTTTGACTTAGTTTTGTTAAGAAGATGCCAGAAACATAAGTTATGTAAGTATTATATAGTTAACTGCCACAGTTTTAGTGTTACCTGTATATTGTAAATTTTAAACTATTCTATTTTTAAAAATAGAAGAAATACCTATGAGCAATAGATAAGGATTTTCCAGTTCGTATAATAAAAACGAAGTCTAAAATAAGTGTTTTTTTTTCAACTGTTTTCCTATACGCAAATCTAAACTTTTATTGATCACAATAACAAAAGATCTTACTTTTTATACGATTTAGGAGGCTAAATCTTTAAAAGTCTACATAATGTCATTTTCATCACATTTTGAAAGGATTAACAGAGTATTTCAAAAAGAAAAATTAATAAAATCAATAAAATCTGAAATTATTACGATTTTTCACTATTATAATTTTAGAATTTTCCATAATAAATTGTTTCCTTAAATATTTGTTTTGTTTTCATATTCACAAAATTTATTTTATCTAATAATTAGTGAAATAAATCTTCAGTGTAAATGAGGAATAATAGTGGTCCAAGGACCATGCTTTGGCTCCTATTTTTATAATGAGTGAGCTATTTTTATTGCAGCTATTGCCAATAAATATCATATGGATTATCTTTTGTCCTTCTTAGGCCAGCTACGACACAGATATTCAAATAGATACATTAATTTGGTTTTACTTGTCTGTATTATAGTGAAGAAAAACAATTTCAAAAGCCGCCAAATCAATGTTTTGTTTTTTTTTGGCTGAAATTGAAACGTGATGTTAACCTTATTCATTTTCAAATAAATTTGCATTAGACGTCTTTCCTTTGATTGCGAACAAATAGAACAACGTTCAATATTCTTGCTTGAATTTGCCAGCGGTATAAGTACATACGAGGTCTGTTCAAAAAGTAAAAGATTTTTGCCTATTCCAAAAAATGGATCAATGAATCTGCATCTGCCGGACGTCCGAGCATGTGAGCAACGAACGAAAACATTGATGATTTGAAGAAAATAGTATTGGTCAATCGTCGAATCACCGTTAGAGAAGTTGCTGAGGACCTAACCATATCGATTGGCTCCTGACATTCGATTTTTATCAATGATTTGGGCATGAGACGGATCGCCGTGAAATTCGTACCAAAATTGCNTAACAAAGAAAACATTTTCTAGAGAATTATTTTTTTTAAATAAACATTCAACTAAATGATCTCACAGTTAAGCAGTCGGACATTGTCACCTAGAATTATTTTAATATTTACGATTATATACTTATGGCTTTAAGAAACAGTCTTCAATTTTACGTTTAAATCTTTGTCTCCTCATGACATTTTTCGCTTTCATAGACTATCGAAGGTCCCGATTTTCCATTACAATTGCTTTTGGCAACTGAAACAGAATTGTGGTCGACGATATTCGGTTTCATTAACGTAGATTTTTCGTTGGGTACTATTAAAATGGTCGTGTCCGAAAATCTTCTTTGCTGCATATCCTTCGAATTGATTCTGTTTGCATCCAAAAATTTCGAAACTTTGTGTGTATCTCTGTATGTCGAGCTATATCTCAAGCTGCTTTTCTTTTCTTTAATTCCAAGCAAAACTTCTTTGAATGCATTCCTGTATCTTTTTGACATAACGTTGTACAGGATTGGATTCAGTGTTGACGAGAAATAGTAAAGAATGCCGGTGATGTAAAACATCCATGCATTAATTTTCTCATAATAAGGTGATTCTTGTCCGTAAATGAAGAGAAGTCTTTGAGCATGGAAAGGGGCCCAACAGACGAAAAAGCCAACTACGACGACAGCTACAATGGAAATAATTAGTTAAATATTTATTTATTTTGAAGTTGCTGAGGACCTAACCATATCGATTGGCTCCTGACATTCGATTTTTATCAATGATTTGGGCATGAGACGGATCGCCGTGAAATTCGTACCAAAATTGCACAATTTCGACCAAAAACAGCATCGCATTAATATTGCTAAGGAACTGTTGGATTCTGTCCGCGACGACCCAAATTTGCTCCAGAGGGTCATAACTGCTGACGAATCATGGGTTTATGGTTAAGACGTGGAGATGAATGTTCAGTCATCCCAACGGAAACTGCTGCACGAGCCAAGATCGAAAAAGCGCGCCAAGTTAGATCGAATGTGAAAGTTTTGCTTAGAGCTTTCTTCGATTGCAGGAGCGTGGTGCATCATGAGTTCCTGCCACAGGGTACAACGGTCAATAAGGAATATCACCTGCAAGTTATGCGCAATTTGCGCGAAGCAATCCGCTAGAAATGCCCGGATTTGTGGAAGAACAAAAATTGGCTTTTGCACCATGATAACGCCCCTGCTAGTGCGCGAATTTTTGACCAAAAACAACACACTAATAATACTGCAGCCACAGATCTAGCCCCCTTTGACTTTTTCTTGTTCCCGAAACTAAAGGGGCTCATGAAAGGACGACGTCACGCTACGATTGAGGAGATAAAGACGGCATCGAAGGAGGAGCAGAACAAGATCACAAAAAATTATTTTTTGAAGTGCTTCGAAAATTGGAAAAAACGTTGGCACAACTGTATAATATCTGGTGGGGATTACTTTGAAGGGAACAAAAATATTCATCAATAAATAAATAATTATTGAAAAAACACAAAATTAGCGATACTTTTTGGACGGACTTCATATATGGGGACCAAATACATATAATTCTAATCATGTAGAAATTCAGAACAAATATGGAACTTACCCTGTTTCTGGCATCTACGCATAAATCAAATATTAGCTCGTAATACCATTGTATTGATTCAATGTACAATTGATTAAACGTTGTTCTGTTCGAAACGACAAACGATAACAAATATGACCAAATACGATTCTCTGCAGACAAAGGTGCTTTTGGTGAAAATGATTTGTACATTATTAATTTATTTTATTAGATTGAACTGAATAAATTTTATTTAACACATTTTTTTTTAGATTAGAAGAGCCCTAAATTTAAAAAATTCTGTCGACCGTTGTCGTCAACAGTTACGCACTCCGTATGCAATTTCCGCTGCATGTTACGCGCGGAAGTTCTGCCGCATACTAACATTTCGCCAAAAGTAGCACAACTTTAAAATCTATAACATTAATTGGGAAGCTTTTGAAAATACTCAAGGTTTTAAATAAAAAAATATTTCTATCATTACTTTTGATGCCTTTTAGATCTATGTATGTAAATAGTAATTAGTTTCAAAAAAATATATTTTCTTTTAATGATCGTACCAATAAACTTTTATAAGATCGCAGTCTTAGTAATTACAACGAATGCATTAATAAAATAACCAGCACTTTGTAGTAATAATTTATTTAAGGTATAAGAGACGCAGACAGAAGAACTTCTAGTAGCTACACAGTTTTAAAAGAAGTAAGAAGCTGAATATTCATTACCGATTATTCAGAAAAGGTGGTATCGTCTCCAAGTGCATATACAGTAGATACACAAATTATATATGCATAATAGCAATTCGGGAAATTACTTAACTGTTATTAACATGGAAATTCTAAAAACATTTTTTATGATTTGTTAAGACATACACATAATTTGAAATAGGCATATAAAAAATTAATATAAGTGGATTCATAACGTCTTTTTAAAATCACATTTTGCTAGGCGAGATATGCCCTTTTTTAATGGTTTAAAGAACCTTTGAACAACAGATATAAAAGTGGACTTTCGAATATGTATTTATCATCAAAAATCATTATATTATAAGAATATTACTTGCCACTTTTCACTTACTTCTGTTCTATAATATCTACACCTAATTTTAATTTGCAATTGCATATTGATATTATAAACATACTGACATAATTATGGCATTTGTTTGGTAGGTTAATAATTTTTAGAGATTAATTAAGTCAAACCTCACGATTTAGATCAAATTTCTACTCGAAGGAGAAATTTTGGATCACCAAAAAAATCAATACTTATTTTTTTTATTTATATCTAAAACCAATCTCATAGATAATTCTTTTTAATCTTTTTAATTTTAAATAACAAAGAAAACATTTTCTAGAGAATTATTTTTTTTAAATAAACATTCAACTAAATGATCTCACAGTTAAGCAGTCGGACATTGTCACCTAGAATTATTTTAATATTTACGATTATATAGGTGTAAGATTCTCTTTGACTTAGTTTTGTTAAGAAGATGCCAGAAACATAAGTTATGTAAGTATTATATAGTTAACTGCCACAGTTTTAGTGTTACCTGTATATTGTAAATTTTAAACTATTCTATTTTTAAAAATAGAAGAAATACCTATGAGCAATAGATAAGGATTTTCCAGTTCGTATAATAAAAACGAAGTCTAAAATAAGTGTTTTTTTTTCAACTGTTTTCCTATACGCAAATCTAAACTTTTATTGATCACAATAACAAAAGATCTTACTTTTTATACGATTTAGGAGGCTAAATCTTTAANATTAAAATATGGAAGCTAACATCATTTTAAAAGATTTTATTAGGAAAATTGAAAGAGTAACTGATTTAATTAAAAAAGAAGCGGAATACCGTAAATGGATTAAATTTTTAAACACTAGTATTTTAACGGTTAAAAAACTCCTAAAACAACAAGAAAATTCTAATCCAACTCATAATAGGTTTCAGCTAGAAGCCAATTTATCTTTATTAAAATATTTCAGAAGTAAATTTAGAAATGAACTTCGTAAAAAAATTAAAAAGAAGTCGCGCATTAATAATAATAATAATATAAAGAACAATAACAAAAACAATTGTCAAAATAGCTGACACTAGTCATTTACATTTTCTAATTTCCTTAAATTAATTCAATAAATTAATTTACAGGTGCTACAATTAGTTTACAACTAAGGTATATTTTGTTGGAATTATTAGTTTTACTACTGGTGAGGCCAACATGAATCCAGCTATTTTTGATGAATCTCAAACTACCCAGTTGACAGCTGTTGTAGTTAATCAATGTATGAATTCAAATTTGGATAAACAACCAGAACAGGATGCAAATGTACCATCTACCCAACCAACTGCAAGTGTTTTGGAGGAAATGTGTCCTGCAACCACTGCAGCTGGCCTTCGTAGGCAGCGGATGAAATGGACTGATGACATAAATAGGCAACTACTTTGCTGCTATTACGAAGTGACTGAACTGGAAACCAATTTAATGGACTATACACCAATTTTGCATAGAAAATTCACTGAAATTTATCCTGAACTTAATTATATAGGTCAATAAAAGAGGATAGCATTATCTGAAAGGGAAATTATAATAATACTGACATATCCCTCTTTTCAGATAATACAACAAGTTAAATTACAAGCGGAGTTTTTTGATAATCACCGATCATATTTCAGGGCAAGAAGTACTGTTAGCTCCATCAAATTTAAGAAGAATAAATTGGATTTCATATCATATTCCAAAACATGTGCGTGAGGTTCTTTGGAATTAGCCCGTCTTCACTTGCTCAAAGTTAACCAGTGAAAAAGACCGGGAAAATTATAATAAGGAAAAATCAGAAGAAATAATACTTATTCAATAAATTCTAGAATATTCAATGTTTCTCCAGAAATTATTTTTTATATAAATCGGTAAATAACCAAATGAAAGAGATGATCAACTTAAAACTGAGGAAATNGGAATATTCATTTGAAGATTATTTACGAGCTCTACTCCACCATTAGGTCTCTCTATTATCATTTTCAGATATATTTATTTTCAAGTCAGGCAATTATGTATAATCATCACTATCTCTTCACTATAAAGTATAAAACAAAGTCGCTTCCCGCTGTCTGTCCTTATGTTAGCTTAGATCTTTAAATCTACGTAACGTATTTTGATGCGGTTTTTTTCAGTGGATACAGTGATTCAAGAGGAAAGTTTATATCTATAATACATGCATAATATAGTAGAGAAACACTGATAATTTTAGAGGTTTCCAACGTGATGTCGTAAAACACATTTTTTTGCGCTTACATTGCAAACGCTGGCTGAACCTTACGAGATAGATCAAAATAATGTACTACAATATTGTACATCTTAAAAGGGTCTACAAAAAAGTCCGTGATGGTATATGTCTATCTCTTAGAAATAACCCACAATAACCATTTTTTATTCTTTACTTTTTATGAGAAGTAATGACTTATTTACGAAACGATTTTAAGCAACACGGCATTAATTCTTACCCAATTAAGTACCTTAAATACATTGTGCATTAATATAGATCAATATGGCCCTTTACAGCATGTAACTTAAATGAATATTTTCGAAGATATTACAGACCGAGAGGCCGGTTTGTATTGTCTAATGACAAAAAAACTGTGAATGTTGTATACAAAGACATTCTGTAGTATATTTAGTATGTTCAGGAGGTATCTTTTGAAGTTTTCCCCTTTTCGATAATAATCTAAACAAAACAAAAATATATTTAGTATCAGCATTGCACCCGTGCGAAACTGGGACGGGTCAATAGTTTTGTATAATTTCAGTACATTAAAGTGAATTAGTATTTGAATTAATTTTTGATATCCTTAAATTAATGATGAAAATTTGTTGTTCTTCGTCGGAAATAGAACCCTGGTGCCTGACTTTACGCGCCGTTACTCTCCTCTCAAAGTAATTTTTTATTGATCCATTTAAACTACGGGGGAAACATCAAAAGATCTTGGTCTCACAAGCTCAAACTTGCTTGACGGCTACATAACTTGTATTCGTAGAAAGTGTAAGGTCTTTAGTAATCACAGATGCAGTTGAAGAGTTTGTACGTGTTTATTTTGATGTAAAAGTGCAATCTCCGTAAGAAATTAAGAACAGATTGGATTGTGTATACAGGAGTGCTACGCCTTCCTCTACAACTTTAAAAAAGTGGGCAAAAAGGTTTTGTTTAAGGTACGAGTTCTTCGGAGACGAAGATCGTCCTAGATGTCCGGCCGATTTGATCACATAGGAAAACATTGCTCTTTTAGGAAAAATTGTTGTGAAAGAATTTTCTGCAATGCCTAAACTTTTCGAAACAACCGTTCGGCGGATTCTTCACAAACATTTGTAAATGCATAAAGTTAGCGCATGAAAGGTTCCCAAACTTCTTTCAACGACAGAAGATCATTTTTGGTACTCTGTGGAGTGAATCCTAAAAACGTTTTGCAATTGTATGTAACGGGGGATGAAAAAGTCGTCTTCTATCACGATCAAAAACAGAATCGAAAGAATGACGGACACCAAATGAAGGAGTCTCAGTAAAACCAGAGATGCTGGAATCCAAAAAAATGACAGTTTTCTGGAACTGAAAATTAATACTCTTACTGAATTTTAAGGAACGTAATACTACTGTCAACGCGGCGTATTATGCAGACTAATATCTTTAAGGCAAAAACGTCGAGGGATGCTCAATAAGCGTGTGCGTGTGGTGCACGACAATGCACCTGTGCACATAGTGGGGGTAGTGGAAGTGGCGATTAAAGATCTTGATTTCGTACAACTGGATCATCCACCATACAGTCCGGATATGACTTTCTTTGACTATTATTTATTTCGTGATATGAAAAAAGCTCTCGCCCTTTTAGCACCGACGAGAAGTTTCGATAACTGCAGTACCTAACAGATTATTTTGACTCCAAAGAATCTGTGTATTGAAATAGGATGTAGCTATATAGAAAAATTAATTTTTTTCGTTGTTCTCTCTGTTCTTTTTTGTACTCAACGAGAATTTCTACGCTCCCTACGTAATTTTATTTATTTTAATACAAAAAATTGTCTTTTCACTTTTCCTTTCCTTTAGAAAAGTAATATGTAGAAGTGAAGTGCTTTAACCGACGAGACAGACAAACTGAGATCTCTTGGCATCAGGGTCCCCTACAATATATATATTAGTAGTTTTTAGTAAATATAGAAGCTAGAAGAATTAGTTTTCAGGGTCACCACCAAAAAATTATCTGTGGCTCTCGTTTCCGATGCTTTAAGCAAATAATTATAATTATGATGCCAATCACTTTTCTATCATCTATTATTATGAGATAAAGCACCCGACACACTCATGATTACTTCAGCTTGGGGGCGGTTCTTATCAATTCTTACATTTATAATAAAATTACTTGAGGTATTTTTTTTAAGGGTACTCTTTTCAAATTTTAGACTTCTTCACTCTCACTTCACTCAAAGCCGGGCACTGATGACTGCCATACACTTAATGATGCTCCAGAAAAAAAGATTCAAATGAATTATCCTCGTCAAACAAAGAATCAAGTGACACTACTTTATAGAGAGCCCTTAATAAACATTATTGTCTACTCCCCCAAATGAATAAATAAATAATAAAAATTAACAAGGTATTACGAATTTTATCTTGATATGCGAGATCTCAGACGAATAAAAAATAAGAGAAGTAAGGTTAAACATATAAAATGTAATAAATGAAAGAGGTAGCATAGTAGCAATCTATCGGCAATCTATTTCATTCAATTGCTTCTTGACGTTGAAAGTTTGAAACTTTATTGTTTTTATTCATTACCTTAGCTTCAACATGTAACAATAATAAAATAATAAAAAGGGTTTTAAGAGCATCTCAAACTATTTTAATAAAACATTTATGATAAAAGTTCTTCTTTAAATGAGTATTTCGTGATACGATGGGTGTAATAATGGATAAAATAAACAACAATTCTTACAAAGCATCCTAACGATCGTCTTTTGGGATTGCGGTTTCCGACTACCACGATGAATTGAACCTTTTAAGCCATTTTGCTCAGAATAGGTACCTATTTTAATACCCATTTGAATATATTCCAGTGATATAATAACCATTGGAATCAGAAAAAATATGACAGTGCTAAGTTCTGCTAAAGGAAAGTTTTTCGGTTGCGATGTCATTCCGCAAAAGGCTGATTCCTGCAAAAAAAATTCTTTTTGTTAGTAAAAGGCTGTATAATAGAATATTGATTTATACGATCGAATTGCTTTCATTTCACTCAAAGGGTATATTAAATATTTCAACTTTAAATCATTGTGATAATGCAGATATTGGAATGTAATATTTTAAACGAAATCGTTTTTATTTCAGTTAAAGAGAAGAACAACTTGAAAACAAATATTTGCAGATCCGTCGCACGGTCTAGACTTCAACTAATTCATTTAGTGCTATCGGCCAGTGGAAGCTGTTTTTTAATCCATATTTTTTGTCGTAGAAATGAAAATTAAAATTTTCCAGAAAAAAATGGTAACCGAACCTTTAATTTTACGTTTTACAAACAATGGATCAAAAAGTTAATAGATAATGGAAAGACATTTGCTAATGTAGATACTTGATTGGGCTAATTATTTTAGAAAAAAATGTATCCATTTTGAAGAACATTTATGCAATATTTTTTACTTATAAATTATACAGTTTACCTACTAACTACTTGATGTTGGTTTATTGAAAGGAGTTTTAAGTCTAATCGGCTTTACTAGATCAGTTGGTGAATTACTTAAGCAAGAAATATTGTGTTCTTTTTTCAGTGTTTTAAAATTCAAAATTCTAACCAAAAGTATAAGTATCAGTTACTCTACAAAACATTGTCTAGTGTAGATTCATTTGCAAAATGTGGTAACGCAGTAATGTAACACGTATTTCCTATTAAAGATTTGCAGGTCTATATTGTTAGTCGATTAAACGTGGTTATAACAACATCGGTTATAACAACAACTCTGATGTAACGTTAGTTTTTAATAATCTTGCAAATTTACCATTTAACAACCAACGTTAGAAGTCTTGGTAACAAAGACAGCAAACAAATAATAAATAAAGCAACGGTCTAAATCACCTAAACTTTGCTAACGATTTTATTAACCAAGTAGTCCTCTTAAAAAAAAAATGAAACTCGTACGTAATAACGACAACTTTGATTTTTTTGGAAAAAGTGTTAGGTGCGGTTATCTTTTTATTAGCCTATTATTATAAAATAATCGTGCAAAGAGGATTATTCTTGATACGTAAAACGTCAAAAAAAAGCTCTTTTATAATTGCTTGTACGTGTTCTGAAGATATCAGATGTTTATTTTAGACTAAAGTTGGGATAATTAGTCTACTGTAATAAACCTATATTGAACGTAGACGTTAAATTGTGAGTAAAACAGCACGTATTTAACACTTCCTCAAAATAAATAGATAAAATATATATGTTTAAGCCGCAAAGGTGAATGTTACTTTCATTACGAATATTGGGTACGTGTTTCGACAAACAAGTCATTTAATTTCCTTGTTTGGCTATCATATGTATATGCTAAAGTTAGATTAAAGTTAAATCAAGGAAAAATTCTTGGAGTTACAGGGAAATATACAAAATGAAAGACGTTTTTGGCTTTCGAAGTTTAGATTTTCAATTAAGAAAAAGACATACGGGATTGATTTAGTAAAAACTATTCAATTTTTTTCTAATTTTATTTTGAAGGGCCACCAATAAAAAAAGGAAAGGGTGTATGGATAAGATTCGTAGATTTAGAAAAAGCTTTTGACAATCTTAAATGGGACAAGATATTAAATATACTTAAAAATGTAGGGATGAGTTACAGATATAGAAGAGTGATACTTAGTTTGTATAAAGAGCAACAGGCAGCTATAGAGCAGGTGCACCAACGTAGAGAAGTAAATATTAGGAAGGGAGTCAGACAAGGATACATACTTTCACCGCTACTTTTTAATATGTATGTAGAAGACGCGGTCAATTAAAGACAGTGCAACTGTAGGGATTAGTACGGTTAGATTTGCAAATGATATAGCAATATCAACATCTTGCAAGGAGGAGTTAGAGATAGCTTTAAATAAAAGCGGTATTGACAAAACAGTATTGTATAAAAAAAAAGAAAGAAAAATACTGGTATGCAACGAAAGAACACGTTGGGAAAGAGCGAATGTAAAGATAGGCGAAAACTTAGAAGAAGTGGCTGATTTTCGGTATTTATTGAGTAGTTAGAACAGAAGGAGTAGTAGTGATATAAAGCAGGGTCGAGCCGCCTTCAATAAAAAAAGTCACTTCTGTGCTCGCGAACGATTAATTTAGAAATTCGAAAAAGATTGTTAAAGGTGTATGTTTGGAGCGCAGCACTGTACTGGCGCGAAACATGGACATGGAGGTTAGAAGCTTTCGAAATGTGGTGATACAGGCGAATGATGAGGATACCGTGGATAGAGGAGGTTAGAAATGAAGAGGGATTAGAATGAATAGGTGAACAGAGGGCTGTATGGATGTCAATAAGAAATAGGTGAGATAGGTTGGTAGGACATCTTCTCAGGCATGAAGGTCTAGTAAGAGTCATATTAGAGGAAGAAGCAGCAGTTAACAGGAGTAGAGGTAGACCTAGATTAAATTACTGTTCGCAAATAGTTAAGGATGTGGGTTGTTCTAGTTTTAAGGAAATGCGAAGATTAGCTCAGGATAGGAAAGAGTGGAGGTGCGTGTCCGACCAGCCAGACTGACGACTTTATGATGATGATGAATTATTTTTACAGCTTCCACCTTACCTATAATTAGAACAATAACAAACGTATATATATTGTATAAATTATTGTTTCCAATAGTATAATAGCCTTCGCTGTTCTGGATATTAAAGGGATGACGTGTAGTTTATAGACTAAAAGGATAACTCGCAGGATACTAAATTTTTCTGTAAAATTATGTTATCATAGTAATTATGGATTTTTACTTTTCTATTAAATGTTTTGCGTTCGATGTTACCATGGTTTTTCAGTTGTATTGTGCTGTATCATGAATTATTGTAACAAGTGTAGTGATTCTGTTATAAACTTTTCCTTCCTGTAGTTCAAAACAAGATTTTAGAGATCCTAATGAAACTGTTCCCTTTCAACCCTTCCCTATCATTATTTTAATTTTGATTTAAAGCATACGTCAAGATTACATCCTGTAAAAGTAAAATGACTGAGAAATCTCACTTACCTCTATAATTAAAGTTTCGTTAGCTGGATCAAGTAAATATGTGACGCTAGTGTAGACGGAAAATGGAGCCGCTGACAAGCACGAGACGAGCCATATTATACCAATTATTTTGTACACTCTTTGTAGTTCTAACATTGCGTGTTTATGAAGAGGGTGACATATTGCCATAAATCTTTCCGTCGAAAAAGCCACTATTGTTAAGACAGACACGTAAGTGGCCCTGAAAACAGTTTCATAATTAATTTATTGTTTTAGTTTCTTTATATTATTAATTTATTATATCATATGAAAAGAAAAAGATTAAAAATTGTAGGCATTGAAACATTTCTATGCGACCATTCGGCTTAGGTTGCTGTTGGATGAAGCAGTGGTAAAGTATTACTGTGAAAGTCCGCAGGCAAGTGAAATTTAAGCCCTAGCAAATCAAAGAATAAATACTCCATCCTATCGGCAAATGAAATTTTTGTAATTGTTTTGTGTTATGTACAAGATTTGTTCACTTCTATAGGGGCTATAGTCGTGTATCCAATATATTTTGTATTGGATGTATGTATGTAAAAGTCTATACTCTAGTTTCTCAAAATAAATAAAAACAAAAACGCATCTCTAAGTTGTTAAACAGAACTTAAATGTCTCTTCAACGCTCTTGAACTATTTTATGTCACCCTTAGCCGATTTTTCAGAACACCTATTTCTACATTTTTGCTATTTTCATCACTTTTTAAGCCCCGAAACAGTGACATTTATATACAGGTTGAATGGGCTACCAGCAGGGGCGCAACAACGTTACAATTTGACTGGGTGCTCACAAAAAAAAAAGGAAAAAAACAAGTTCGACTGCTCTCATCATAAGTAATAGTATAAATGAAAAAAGATCATTTCGGCTGTTCATTTACGAACTTGAAGTATTTGAATGAATGAAATGAATGAAATTGACTGGGTGTCCAACCGAAATCGAGTGGGTGCCCAACCCAATCGAGTGTTTGTCCGGGCACCTTTGGACCCCCCCTTGTTGCGCCCCTGGCTACCAGATTTAATGTAGAATCAAGACTAATTCGGAAAATTTCATTAATAAGTGTTTACATTTCGAGGATTCCTAAAGACTGTAGATGTGGTTCTTAGCCCAGGCCTTCAATTAAGTCAAAAAAATAAAAAAAAATTGAATATATATTTCGGGTTTGATTGACTTTTTTACGTCACTGCAGTCCCGACGGAATGTCATTTAATAACATAATAGTGAGGATGTGAGAAAATGCTAATAGTAGGGCGGCCAGACTTAATTAGCCCGGGGTGGTAAATACGTCACTGTCGAAAGAAGCTACTAGGATGATTAGAATTTCCAGTAGTGTAGTGAGAATTTCTGCTACCTGGGGCGAAACCTAAATTTGCAGCCTCCTACTTTCCCAAGTAATATCTTTTATTTAAATTGGTTAGGATATCGTGGTGGAAACGTGTACATAAGAACGTGTGCACAAAAACGTGTACTTGTAATTTAACATTTGACATAAGTAGCATATGGGACCATTTACCCTACAGACTGATACATACAGGTCGGACGGCTATTTAAGATTTATTTATAATATATATTTAAATTATACAGTTAGGGCAGTAGCATACTAGGAAATAATAACACAAAAAATGAACCTAATGCTTTTGTTTGTTTTCTAATTAGTTTTCACATTTACGGTCCTCATCGGAATCAATAGCACTGTAATCGACATTAACAATTAATTCTTCTAATAAAATAATTCGAAGTGGTCTGTATTCTGTCGAAACTGGATCTCATCAGCGCGCCGCAGGCAGCTCCGACAGAACACAGATCAACTTTTACCTGCTGTCTTAACAGTGCGTTTTCGAAAATACTACAAATGGCGCAGTAAGTAGATACCCACAGAAGTGGACCTTGTTGGAGCATACGTAATCCTAAAATGTAGCATCGTGCTACAGATGGCGTTTACTGCGCCATTTGTAGTATTTTCTAAAATTAATTCTTCTGTTTATGTCTATTACTTGCTCATTATTTAACATAACATTAAAATAAATCACGTTAAACTAAATTATTGCGCCTATTTCTTTTTATATGAACTTTAAATATCTACAACAAGAAAATCAACTGTATAAGTTAATTTTTTCAATTTAATTTTGTAAACTGATCTTTTAAATGTTTAATCTACGCCCCTGATATAAATACTGATGAAAGAGGGCTGCAATTGTTATAACTGAAACTGCCTACTTTTGCTACCGCACATTTATACCATTTTAAAATTTCCGCCAGCTTCGAGCGTCAGGCCTGTACATACCATCAACTTCCTCGTATAAAATAATAAATAATTATTATTTTTCAAGAAATTCCCAAGCATACTTTTTTCTAGCTTTTTTGTTTAAACAAAAAAGGAACGTTATGAATTTTTGTTCAAATCGTATTTATATTAAAAAAATAGAGTGTATTTACTTCCTTACATTTGTAGTGTTTTAAAGTTTCAATTACACTTGGTTATACCAATTTCTGTCTGAATTAAGTTATAATTTTTATTAGGCATGTTTTTTCAGCACCCCACATTTACGCTGCTGGGGACCATAGCACCCTCTGCCTCCCTCCAACGTTACGCCACTGTCAGAAAGTGGCCATATTTCGCGATTTCAAAAATTTGTTGACTGATTTTAATTGTTCAAAGCTTATTCACTTCCACTATTAAACGCTACCTATTAGTTATTTTTATAATTAATTATAAATTAAGGTTTTATCTATACGCTACAAGTCGATTTTGTCCAATAAAACACAAAACATATACATAACACTCCTACGATTTTTCTCCTATAGATATTGTACGTTGAGAGGTTAAATTTTTCCAAGAAATAAACTATTACATTTAGACTCAAGTTAAAAATTGTCTACCCTATACATCCCCACTTCTTTACATAATCAACGATTTTTAAAAGGTTTAATTACTTCTATTTGTCTAATGAAAAGCTTTTCTACAATATAATTGCAGTTTTTTACTAGTTCCAAGCTGGACTCCATGATTATTACTTGCCTATTTATATTGAGAGTACGAGACGTCAATAAAGATATGTAATTAAAATGGTTCTATATAGAGAACCGACTGGTAGTTTTTACACACATTTCTCTTTCAAAATTCATACGCACATTAGCTGACATGTACAATTTTGTTTACTTCTCGGAATCTATTTATATTCGTTATAATTCAAAAGTCATACCTACTACGTCGAACGACAATTTGTCTGCAAATTTTTAATCTCATGCATAACTCTTGTTGAGAAAGTACATTGATGTAAATAACCGGTTAAACTAAATTAGTATGTAGTTGCACTTTTGTTGAAAAGTTTGTCTGATATGCGCGGGTTTATTTCGTAATTAGATTTACTTTTGATTTTATACATGTTACCCCAAGATAAAAATGTTCAGTCTCTCAGAGTCTCTGAAAGCGAGACTAGAGTCTCCGTCGCTGAGAGAAACTGTCGAGAGACTGTCAAAAAAACTGTATAACGTCTCTGAACAAGAGACTCGAGTCGCTCATAGAGAGATCCTCATTTCGTATACAGTCTCTGAACGAGAGACTGAAATCTCTGAACGAGAGACTGGAATCTCTGAACGAGAGACTCGAATCTCTCAATAATTGGTGTCTCGATAGACATGGTTAAAATTTTCTAAGTTCAACATATTTCAGAGATCCCAGCCTTTCTACGAGAGACTCGAGTCTCTCAATTTTTCAGTTTTATTCATTCAGTCTCTCTGTGAAAGACTCGAATCCTGAATTAACAATTTTTTCGTTCGAGTTTCTCATACAGAGACTGTGAGACATCCATAAAAACACCTAGGCAATAACTGAGAGACTGTGAGAGACGTTCTCAGAGACGCTGAAAGACTGAAAGACTCTGAGAGACTGAAAATTTTTGTCTAGGGACAATAATATATTTTTGTTTTCATAGCTCATAGCAGTTACGTTTTAGGGAATTATTTTGTTTATTAAAAGCTATCTGCGTCATTCTTTATTTTTATATCTTTTTTGATATTCAAAGGAAAATTTCCAAATTTGATTTTTTTACATATATTTTCCGCGATACTAAAGTAGTCAATGGGTCAAACTCTTGAAGGGGAGTATTATGTCATTCCCAGTCTCTCTCACAGATAGGGGGGCTAAACAGCTGCATGCCCCCCTTGCAATCGTCTCGCGCACCCTAGGGGGGCGCGCCCCACAGGTTAGAAATCACTGAATTAGGATGTTATTTACCGGTGTCCACATCAGGATACGAAACGAGGTTAGGTAAAAATATAAGGTATGAAACGAGAACAAACAATTTAAACACTACTTGCCATTGTATCTACAGTGTATGTGGACAAACACGAAACACATTTATTATTCACTTACATTTCAGATATTAGGGATCGAATTTTACAAAAATCTTCACCCAATGTCCATGGATATTGGTGCCAATAAACGGAAACATCGTTCGGCAAACCTACAAAAAATCCCTGAAAGGTTTAATTATTTTTAACTTGAAATGTTTTCACAGTTGCCGGTTACGTGCGGACGTGTACCTCGTTATTATTGTTCAAAGTTGCCGGTCGAAAATAATTAACCGTCTGAACATTTGTAATCCAAACTTTCTGATCTTTACGCTTCAAGAACTCTGTTGATTTTCGTGCCAATTATAAACCACACCAACTAATGCAAACTGTTCATTTCATTTTTTGGATTATAATAAACGGTAGATTGCAATAACAACAAAAAACAAGATCATGTACTAATTAATACTAGTACAAATAATGATCCTACAAAGTGTTACAAAAATAAATGATACGCATAGCAGTATTATCATCCAGCAAGGAGGAGTTAGAGGTAGCTTTAAATGAAATGGAAACGGTAGACCAAACAGTATTGCATGAACATAAATAAATGTAAAAAAAGTATTGGTATGTTTATGGAAGAAAAAGTAGGGAAAGAGCGAATATAAAGATAGGAGACGAAAAATTAGAAGAAGTGACCGACTTTAGGTATCTAGTATCGCGGTATCTAGGAAGTCAGATAAGTCAGGACGGAAGGAGTAGTAGGGATATAAAGCAGAGGATAGCGCAGAGTCGTGTCGCCTTCAATAAAAAGAAGTCACTTCTATGCTTGTGAACGGTTAATTTAGAAATTCGAAAAAGATTGTTAAAGGTGTATGTTTGGATGCGCGGTCATGGGTGTACCCAGCTTCTGCCCAAGCGGGGGGCAAGTCAGTCTACTGCGCGGTTTATGCAAAAGTTACCATGTAAGGCCCCGTTAACACTTTGATTAGTGATTAGTAGTGTCCGACCGAAAGTTCGGTTTCGGTTTAGGTTTCGGTCGAGTTTCTACACTTACTCAAATAAACATCTCACCTATTTTAAGTATTTTTAAGGCGCAATTAAAGTATTTCCTTAAATGAGGGGTTGTTGTGTTGATTTTAATTTGATTATCAATAAGTGAAAATGTCAAAGACTCCAGAGCTATGTGATTAAAGATAAAAAAATAAAACTGACTGATTATAATAACGTTTTCTTTATTTTTCTCTCAAAACATGATCCTTATAAGGAAGTTTCGGTTTCGGTTTCGGCCGAAACTGAGACCGTTGCCGAAATTCGGTTTCGGTTTCGGTTTCGGTCGTAAAAGCCAGTTTCGGTCGGACACTAGTGATTAGACGAGTTCATACATTTGCTGCAAGATTTCCAGGGGGGGTAGCTGCCCTCCCCTGCCCCCGGTACGCCCATGAGCGCGGCGCTGTACGGGTGCGAAACATGAATGAAATGATTAAAAGCGTTTGAAATGTTGTGTTGCAGAAGAATGGTTAGGATACCGTGGATAGAGAAGGTCGGAAAAGAAGAGGTATTACAAAGAATAGGAGAACTGAGAATCTATGGAAATTAATAAAAAAAATAGGCGAGATAAGTTGGTGCAACACCTTCTCAGGCATGAAGAGAGGAGTTAAGAAGAGTAGAGGCATACCCAGATTAGATTACTGTTCGTAAATAGTTAAGGATGTGGGACGTTCTAGTTTTCAGGAAATGTGAAGATAAGCTCAGGATAGAAAAGAGTGGAGGTGTGTGTCCAACCAGTTTTAGGACCTTATGATGATAATGAAAATGTAGATTCACAATTGTTTTGTACTATTACAGTCTAATTATGATTCAAATTATATAAAGACACAAGATGAAGGTGAATTGGTAGCTGGCAACGAGGAGATGATATCCTAAGATATTTGTCTTTGTTTCGTGCTATTAAAAGATATACGTTCGGTATTTTTCTGTACCTATATTATTAGGCAAGTGTTATATGTATAAAATGAGACAACCAAGTAAAAAAAAAATGAACTTATAGAAGCGTACTGCCGACACAAATTAGTAATTTTGTTCGGAAGTTGAAAGAGAGCAAATTTCAATCAGGAGAAATATACGTATAGTGACATTCACAAAGAAAAGGAAGTTTCATGTACATGGTTTTCTAGAGAAGCAATGTCTTTAATAATACTTACCAAATATCAGAAGCGTTAAATCAGAAATTGCTAAATTGAAAAGGTAATAATTCGTAGCAGTGTGAAGTGAAGAGTGCTTGATAATGACTGCACATACGGCTAAATTTCCAATAAGTCCTGTGATAAAAATGAACACATTGACAGCAGTTAAAGGAATTGCAACTTCCAGCGGAAGTCTCTGGGGTCCACGTTTGTCTGCCAAATAATCCCAAAGAGTTGGGAAATTTGTAGCATTTGGATTGTCCGGCACACTGTCATATGAATCAAGAAGGGTACTCATCCTCTATTTTTTTTTTTTTATTTTATGTTGAGCACTTTCTATTATTTTAAACTGAGTTGCAAATATGCTGTTTCATAGTTATGAAAGTATAATTTATTTTTTCAAGGATCTCAAAGATATTATAAATCCCTTCATGAACGTATTATTGATAGGAATCTAAAAAATACTTTTTATTACGGTACCTACACACGAGGCGACTAGAGATAGGAGCAAAAACTTAATTGGAAGCGAATGGATTTAGAAAGCGTCTTGAATTAAAAAGGGTCTTTGCGTAAAGAGCGACTGCGCATCGTAAACATGTAAAATCTCTTTGTCCACGCGACAAATTGGATGCGCACTATTTTATTGCTCAGCGACTTACCGAACATAACATGACGTTTTTACGGATTGCACTGGTCATTATGCATCCCGTAATGTTTACTTCTAGCTCTAGTCTTCTTGTGTATTTAAAATATTCAACAAAATCACAACGTGTGATGAAAATCTTGTTTTATTTATTGTGTTCAAACAAGTTCAAATGTAAATGTAATTTTAGGTGTGTACATTAATAACATTCAGTAGCATCAAATAGCATCTAGTACTGAAGTTATGAGGAACCTACATGTGATACAAGTAGTTGTTAAGCCAATTAAAGTTTACTTAGAATTACGAGTTGCAAGCTTTCATTTATAGAACAATATATTGTAGGTGTATGAGTATAGATATGAGAAGATCTTTTAGTAAGTTATTTATCTAACAGAAACTCCAATTCAAGATCAAAACTAGAACTAAAATTGTTTTGAATTTTGGTTTTTATAGGAAATATATTTTATTGCAATATTTCTAAACATTATGCTAAATTCATATTGACAATAAGAACAGAAATTTATATCTATTAATAATATATCGATTTGATGTACTTATTTTCTTAAAATTATTTATTTATTCATTCATGAATATTTACTTTGTCTCCTTCAAAGTAATCTCCACCAGATATTATACACTTGTGCCAACGTTTTTTCCAATCCTCGAAGCACTTCAAAAAATATTTTTTTGTGATCTTGTTCAGCTCCCCCTTCGATGCCGTCTTTATCTCCTCAATCGTAGAGTAGCGCCGTCCTTTCATGGGCCTCTTCAGTTTCGGGAACAAGAAAAGGTCAAAGGGGGCAAGATATGGGGAATACGGTGGCTGCGGCATTATTAGTGTGTTGTTTTTGGTCAAAAATTCGTGCACAAGCACGGGGGGCGTTATTATGGTGCAAAAGCCAATTTTTGTTTTTCCACAAATCTGAGAGTTTCTGGCGGATTGCTTCTCGCAAATTATGCATAGCATGCAGGTAATATTCCTTATTGACCGTTCTACCCTGCAGCAAGAACTCATGATGTACCGCGTTCCTGCAATCGAAGAATACAAAGCACAACCTTCACATTCGACCTAACTTGGCGTGCTTCTTTCGGTCTTGGCTCGTGCAGCAGCTTCCATTGGAATGATTGAGCTTTGGTTTCCACGTCATAATCATAAACCCATGATTCGTCACCAGTTATGACCCTCTGGAGCAAATTTGAGTCGACAGCTCCTTACTAATGTTAATTCTATACTGTTTTTGGTCTCATGCGCAAATCATTGGTAAAAATCGAATGGCAGGAGTCAATCGATATGCTTAGGTCCTCAACAACTCCTCCAACAGTGATTCGACGATTGGTCAATACTATTTTCTTCACTTCCTCAATGTTTTTCGTCTGTTGTTGTTGTGTTCCGGCGTCCGGTACGCTATTCGTCGTTCACATGTTTTTGGCCCTCTGACTTGTATCACCGATAACCGTTACTTTGGTCCAAGGTAGTTTCACCAAAATTCACGATACTTTTTCAACAGACCTCGTAGGTACAGCATTCTGAGCTTTGTTATGCTAGCAACGTGAAGTCAGGAAATCGTTTTTAAAGAATGCCAAAATTAGGTGCTTCTTAGGTGCTAATTAAATGCTGAGTTTAAAAACTAGGTGCTCTATAACTTCAACGGAACACTTAAATTCGCATTACTGACATGACGATGTGTTAGCAACGCAATTAAAGTATTTAGTAAAAGAGAGGTATAAGTCAGAGAAAATTAGGTGTTCAACAGTAGTACAAATTAAATTGAAGACCTGATAATGGTAAAGACCCTAAACTTACTCGGAGAGGGATAAATCTGGTTCGACAAAAAAAAATAATCACATGATGACACTGTAGGTAATAAATAAAACAGTTATGGGATTTTCTCGATTTTATCCAGGTATGAGAATTAAGTGCTAATTAAGTGCTTGACGAAAGTCCATAATGCAATTTAGTGGAATAGCTCCTAATGACAGCATAGGTAATAAAGAAGACAGTTATGGAATTCAAATATAAGAATTAAGTGCTTCACGAATCCGGACTGAACTGGAATAACATCAGGAAAATCCCATAACTATCTTATTAATTATGTACCACCTAAATCAAAAAGCGACTAATTTTTAAATTCAATTCATAATTAGCATCTAAAAAGCACTTTCTTTTGACATTTATTAAATGCGATATCCTTACTTTAAGTATTACAGTACTAATAATAAGCATATATGCACTTTTGATACTATCTTTTGAAATACTGAATATTAAAACGTCTAATTAAAGGATAGAATTAACTAACTATATGGAATGTGCAGAATTTAAGAAATAATTTACCACTGTTTTTGTGGAAATACGCCAAATAGGTGTTTTAATAATATTACAATTTATGTTTTACGATTGGTAAATTAATGATTTTAATCGCCCTATTATGTTTATTTTATATACTCACTCACAATAGTATACTCGAAAAACTTAACACTTTGCATTCAGTAAACTGTTCGGAAAGTACCACGATTGCAGGGAACTGCACGTAAGTACTAATTGGATTTAAGTTTTTACGTTTACTTAACGAGAAGAATGGCTTTTGAAGTTTTAAAAGATTTTCAACTGAGGGAAGTGCTTTTATTACATCAGTAGCAAATTTAACAGGGCTTCCAACAGCCAACAAGAAAATTGAATTTGATCGTCAGACACTCTGCTTAGATTCTTATTTTTATTCTTTTTCTCTCATGAAACGAGTAAGTATAATAAACTATTGTTGTGAAGTTCACAAGAAGAACTGATTCTCTTTTTAATAATGTATAAGAAGACCAGTTATGGCTAGTGCGTTCAAAAGTAAGTGAGGAGTACCAAAATCGATAAAAATTAAATTTAGAGTTGGGTTCAATGTGTTCCAGAATATTTCTCAGAATATGTACCGTAGAATTTGTCGAATAATATGACAATTTTTTAGGCTAGTTTTACCAATAAGTATCGTCGAGTACACGTACGGACTGCATGCAGGTGTAGTCAACTAGCTAATCTCTTTCTTATTGGGGGATGGATAGGGAGCGTTAGTTTCGAAAATTTACTGTTGACGTTACTGTTATTATGGCAAGCCGCTCGCACTAGCAGAGGTGTAGCGGCCACGCATCTAGCTCTTCACTTGGTCTTTTTGTACGTATATTGAGGCCATTACAAGGATTATTTAAAACATTAGACAACGGTCTATGCAAACAAAAAATAATTGTAAAAGAAATTATATTTTTATTGTGAGAGAAGTAAATCTCGATTCTACCCAGAAAATAGGTGCTGAAAAGACTCTTCAACTACTTCACATGAATAGTAGTTAAATAGTTGAATATTTTCATGAATCTATCTACGTCATTTTTAATTTAAAAGTATTAATGCTAAATTGAGTACAGCCTGCACCTACTTCGACCAAATTATTGATCTATTAGATAATGCTAAAGTTTTGAGATAAAATAATGCTGTTGTTTTCTTTCAAAGTTTGTGTTATTGTCTTACACACTTTTCCCTCTTCATAATGTTATTTTTAGTCATTTCAGAAGTAACGGTGTAAACATATTTTTTTCCCAATATTTACTGAAATGTTTCCTATAAGCATTAAATAACATATGTCTGTAAGGTGTATGCGTATCCTAAAGAAAATTGATTGAGTTGATCCCTGTTTTTAAAGAAACATTTAAAAATTAAGGTAGAAATGTATTCGCTGATCTTTATTACATAAATATTCAGTGTGACCATTATATTTTCATCGAATAGAAATGATAACGCTATATATTTACAGTTAATAAGTTCAAGTTAGTTGAGGATATATTAGGCCAGTCGTTGGGGATTTATCGGAAATTTTACCGAGAAATCTGAAAATTACTTTAATTTTTTTGCTATCACTTTAAAATACAAAGCTTGACTTTTCTCCCTACGGCGAGGTCTGCATTCGGTGCAGTATTGCATAGAAAACGTCAAAGACAGATTTTCTAAAAACATTTCCTAAATCGCTGCGGGTACGCTAAAACCTGTTGTTATCATTATTATTTAGGAATTATATTTTCTCTGGAATGAAATCTTACTGAGTTATGGTTGCAAGAACATTGGGACTTTCAGACTTATGCGCCCCCCACTTCAATAACATCCCTTCTCAACTATTAAAAAAAAAAGATCTCTGTATTTGTTTCTACAACATCGTCTCACCCAGAGGCTTAATCCACATCAGTGTTTCTAATTTGTGTTTCTACATTTAAAGCTTGAAGGGTGACTGGAATTTCTCGAGTATGAAGTTCGGAACATGCGTCCTTTAGTTCCGGTGCTTCATAAGTTGTTACGGAATGGAATCATCTAATTGTGTAACAATTTCTTCGTCAAAATTTTGTTTGTCAACTTCGCAACAAGTATTACAGCGATCAAACACTTCTTAAAACAATATTCTGTAAATATACAAAAGGGTGCAGAACAGTATGTAGTTGTAAGAAGCGAGGTCTCCGATGCTCAAATACTTGCTACCACTGCTAATGAAAACACCTCAATCCACCAGAGGGTGAATGTTCAGAACTTGATAACTAGAAGCTCTCAACCAGCCTTCAATCTCTAAACGTAGAATAAACTTCTAGAGGGGAAACCACGAAAAAAAAAAAAGGAAACGTGCCACGTGCTCTAATTTCGTGGTGTTGTGGAAACGGGTGCTAAAATGCTTTTTTTTGGAGTATTCAAAATAATTAAGCATGAAATTTATTGAAATATCTTGCGACCATAACTCAGCAAGGCCTCATTATAGAGGAAGTACCTATGTACAGGACATTCTTTAAAGGAAATT